TGGATTATCATACGTCGCCCCGAGTAAGTAGGAACCTTCATCATGGGATGAGGCAAATCCCCCTGTGAGGTGGCAGCAAAATTTGCCCAGCTCATTTCCCCAGTCCATGCACTGAAGAGGCCTCCGTAATTTCAGCCTGGGCAACGCGCCGGTGCACAAGCTGAGCCACACTGACGCTCCCTTTCTCTCTGCCAAGTTCATGACAGTTGGTGCCAACGCACGAAACCCTCTTCGCACCACTTTCCCAAATATGGGAAACCATTGTTTGTTCGAATTTACAGGGGAATCGACTCATCCAGGGTTTCTTAGGAGATGCAAGCTTCTGTCCATTGACGGGGGGCACTTGGCACTCAGCACTTGGACAAGCCAGTCAACAAAATCCATGTAGATCATGTGTTGCGCACTCAAGCACGTACTTGTGGTTCCTCAGGTCCGCTACCGCAACGGCCTGAAACGCACCGGCAGCATGACAAGCTGCCATTGCTCTTCCGGCAGTGAGGTGCTTAACGCATGTGGCCTTGGCCCACGGCGAAGGCAAACTTCATCGTGTGAGGCGGGCCACGGAAATGCCCTCTTTTGCGAATGTGGGCAGGGCGTAGGCTCAAGCACAGCTGTGCCGTCGAAACATGCGTGTCAATTTCTTCACTTGACTGCAGACCCGGCCCCATGGTCCTCCAGGGGGCGTCGGAGGGCGTATGGCTCGCAGCCGACGATGCGGCGGAGAAGTCCAAGGGCTGAGTGGGTCCAGCAAAAGGTCGAAGCCACCCGAGCCGAACTTGACGTCATCCAGCTTGAAAAAAAAGCACGCCAAGAGGAGGCTGATGTTGTCTTTCTGCGTAGAGCATGTTTGGCCAGTTTCATCCACAGCCCTGCCGGGTCATTCGGCAAGGAGTGATGCACCTTTAAGCCGATCTGCCGCGCAAACACTTCTAGAGAGCCAGTTGAGTTCAACTTGAAATGAACACCCTGACGTCCCGTTCGAGCCCTGACTTCCCTTTCGTCAGCGTGACATGCGAAATTCGCCCTCGGCCAACTTGAACCTTTCGCATGCCTGTAACTGACAGCAACAAACAACAACAGCTCTTCAAGTGGGGGAGAATTCACGATTTGCGGGGCATAAGTGCACCCCAGGACCTTTTGGGTTCAGTCAACTTGTTTCCATTTACTGCAGCCCATTTTAGGGGTTCCCCAAGCTATTTTTGACCCCAATGGGAAAAACATCTGGTCGTCGCCGCCTGGGGCCTCCGGCAACTTGACCTCCACCATGGCTGGAAAAGCTCCCAAAACCTCGGCAAAGGAACTGAAGACAAAGAACTTGCCACCGAAAACCGGGAGAAGTGTCCCGGGAGTCCGGGTGTTCTCAGACGGGTTAGTCCCTTGTTCGCAGGCGTTGGGGGCTCTGTGCTCACAGAATGATGGGGATTATAAAATCATATTGGTGGACAAAACTCATGTTGCACAACTTAGGATGGACAAAAAAAAACCTGAAACTTGTGTTTGATGAAACCCAGGTGGCCGACCTTCCCGAAAGGCGAACCAATGGGGTCAACAAGTCTTCCTTGGGGTTGTAAAAAATGATGGAACCGCCTTCCAAGTGTTGCCGATCGGCGTGGATGTCCATCCAAAGAGTCCTCTCTCAACCTGCCAGCTGAGCCTAAGATCCACCCAAAGACGCAAACAACATGCAGGAACCCTACCCAAACCAATGGGTGGTTTCCCTTTGGGCTGCAAACAAACCCTGACGCCACTCTTCTTTGAACAATCTCAGACGAACCTCAGTTGCTCGCCGTACATATACACATAAATGTGTATATATATATATATATGTACACATACATCAACTCGACACTGAGTATGATGTTTACTGGGAGGATCCTTTGGTGGAGATCAGTTCCATGGAGGTTCATATTTGAAAAAAAACGGCGGGTGATCCCTCTTCAGATTTATGGCCGCCGATCAGGGATCTGACATGCGAGGAGAAGGTCAGTCGGACAGCGAGCTTGCTCCAGAATGTCCTCGCATCCCACTTGCATTAAGAGGGGAATCCCTTTGATCATTTTCCAAGGAAACCAACCGACCGACCAACCGACCCACCAATCATGAGGTTGGTACTCCACTTGGGTGTCAAGATAGGATTCGGAACCCCAAAAAAGGTGGTTTCCCTTTGGGTTCGATTGAAATACATCCCAAGCATTCCCTCAAACACTCACACACCCATTTCGTCTCAGGTGTTGGGGCCCACTCCGCTGACGGTCAAAGACGTCACTCTTGCGGCGCTTTTGACATGGTCTCAAATCTTCCGAAGCCAGTCAAAGGGGGCACCAATTTTCAGGAACAGAAACACCGAAAATCCGCTTCGAGGAACAAACAGCCCCTTAAGACACAAAAATATATGTTCTGACTGTCTCAAACACCACACACCACAAGGGCAATGCTTAGACTGAGGCAACTAGTGGGGTGCTGCGAAACTCAGATACGTCACACCAAAACACCAGATCCCAAAGGCTCAGGGGCCGGCAGGTTTGCTGCGCCGGCGCCAAATCCGCGCTGCTTCCGCTTGGGCCGACAAACTGACAATGTGAAAAACCGCCTTGCACCCGATGAGGATGTCCCTACCAAACGGGCTCTTCCAGGTCCTTTTGGATAAGATCATCATCGTGTCTCAGTGCCTTTTGCGGCCAATTCCTCGCGTCTCGGCCCTGAAAACAACCCAAAACCCAAGTGAGCCAATGCGGAAGCTCATAACATGCCCCCCATGCCTCGGCTCAATTGATCCCTGAGCAATGCGTGGGAGTCTGAAAAACATGTTGAACATTGGAGTAAGACCCAAGTTTTTTGCAACAGAAGAAGAAGCTGAAACTGATTTATTTGTTCCATGATTTTGGAGAAGGTTTACCCATGCCCAACTCATCTGGTGAGGATCCGTCAACTGGGGGAGTCTGAATAAGGTGAATGAAGTGAACGAATGCAAGAACCTGAAATGAGGAATCCCTCCAGGCACCTCAAACCCAGTGGGTGAGCTTGCCCTACATTTGGAAAAGCAAGTCCCTGTGGTTCCGGTGTCCTTGGGCCAGAAGATCCCCCGGGAAACAAAACAACAACAATACCAAAAACGCCCTTACTTGGTTTGAGGGGAGCCCCGTCCCTTGCAGTTCATGGAACTTGGTGGACATGTTGAAGCAAAATCCATCCCCACTGAAAGCACCAAGAAGCTTTGGATGGTCGCCTCTGCCGCGCTTGGCTGATGAAGGATCAAGCCACTTTCGAGCCAAGGCGCAATGAATCAATCCGGAAGCGCGAGCACATCAGTCGATTTGACTGCATGACTCGTTTCCTCCATCCTAACTTTGCATTGGCAGTGCCTTGGGCGCCTGTGCGTCGGGTTGCTATCGAGGTGAAACCATGTGTGAAACCTGCGCTGCAATCAAATAGCCTCGCAAGTTGACTTCTGTCAGCATGCCGGCTGCGTGGAAAGGGTGCTCATCTCGCGAAACAACTTTGTGCAAAGACAATCGGTCTGCTAGGCAGCAGCTGTAGCCTCCTCCTCAGTCTTCTCCTCAGCTGCTGGGGGCTCAGGCGCTGGCGGCTCAGCAACAGCCGCGGCCGGCATCTCCTTTGCTGCTTCTGCTGGTGCTGCCTCCTCGGTCTTCTCCTCAGCTGCTGCAGGCTCAGGCGCTGGCGTCTCAGCAACAGCGGCGGGCTCCTCAGCTGTCGCTTGTGGCTCCGCGGCCGGCATCTCCTTTGCTGCTTCTGCTGGTGCTGCCTCCTCGGTCTTCTCCTCAGCTGCTGCAGGCTCAGGCGCTGGCGTCTCAGCAACAGCGGCGGGCTCCTCAGCTGTCGCTTGTGGCTCCGCGGCCGGCATCTCCTTTGCTGCTTCTGCTGGTGCTGCCTCCTCGGTCTTCTCCTCAGCTGCTGCAGGCTCAGGCGCTGGCGCAACAGCGGCGGGCTCTGTCGCTTGTGGCTCCGCGGCCGGCATCTCCTTTGCTGCTTCTGCTGGGCTGCCTGCCTCCTCGGTCTTCTCCTCAGCTGCTGCAGGCTCAGGCGCTGGCGTCTCAGCAACAGCGGCGGGCTCCTCAGCTGTCGCTTGTGGCTCCGCGGCCGGCATCTCCTTTGCTGCTTCTGCTGGTGCTGCCTCCTCGGTCTTCTCCTCAGCTGCTGCAGGCTCAGGCGCTGGCGTCTCAGCAACAGCGGCGGGCTCCTCAGCTGTCGCTTGTGGCTCCGCGGCCGGCATCTCCTTTGCTGCTTCTGCTGGTGCTGCCTCCTCGGTCTTCTCCTCAGCTGCTGCAGGCTCAGGCGCTGGCGTCTCAGCAACAGCGGCGGGCTCCTCAGCTGTCGCTTGTGGCTCCGCGGCCGGCATCTCCTTTGCTGCCTCTGCTGGTGCTGCCTCCTCGGTCTTCTCCTCAGCTGCTGCAGGCTCAGGCGCTGGCGTCTCAGCAACAGCGGCGGGCTCCTCAGCTGTCGCTTGTGGCTCCGCGGCCGGCATCTCCTTTGCTGCCTCCGCTGGTGCTGCCTCCTCGGTCTTCTCCTCAACTGCTGCAGGCTCAGGCGCTGGCGTCTCAGCAACAGCGGCGGGCTCCTCAGCTGTCGCTTGTGGCTCCGCGGCCGGCATCTCCTTTGCTGCCTCTGCTGGTGCTGCCTC